TACTCATGAAACTTTACAAGTATAGGCTTCTCATATAATGATATATGCTTCTGTGAAACAGGTTAAATTGGTAGACAATTGAGTGATAATTGTCAATTAATTTGTTGAAAATGTGAATGGCTAATTTGTGAAGAGATAAAAAATAGTGTCCCCTTGGATTGATTTACTGTTTTACCAAGAATTTAGCGGTCATTAGCTCTGTTCTAGACCAAATTAGTAAATAAAATTATAAGGATCGAAATGTATCCGAAACAGTTCTTTAAATTTTCTTCTAAAAATGTATAGAAACGCTGCCAAGCACATGCTTATTCAAGTTTTTCAATATTGCATTGTTGTTGTTAAGAAAAAAACGATTGCTGTAACGCATTTTTTTGTCAAGGAAAACATTTTAAGGACAAGGCTGCGGCATGAAAAGCACAACGCAACAAAACTCATAAGCGAATGCAGTAAATTATAAAAATAAACATATGAAAACAACAACAATAACAATGCAACTAACTGCCAAATGACAGGTAAATAGAGCGACTAACGAGAATGACAGCAAAAAAAGAGAAAAAAACGGTTAACACACAATCGGGCTTTGTGGTATGCGTTAGCTCGCCGTTATACGTCGTATATATTATGTACATATACATATGTATAAGTAAGTATTATATAATACTCATATGTACATATATATGTATATGTATGAATGAATATGGAATCGCCGGATTAACTAACTGACAAGCGGTCTACGCTTGACTGGTGGTAAATAAAGGGTGTCGCAATTGAAACTTGTTTACTTAATTATTTATACAATATTTGTAAACTTCACAACTGGTATAAAATACAAGTATACAATGACTAGTATAATCAGGTAGTGATAGAATTGTAGCTGGTTACACAATTTGAAATCTCTTTTATTAAACTCCACAAACAGTTTAAGTTTATGGTTGCTTTCCCAAGTAATTTTTTTGGACGAGAGAGGAGAGCTTATTCCCAAATAATAGGGAATAGTCTGTCGAGGAAAGGTGTCTTGAAAACTGGGAGTGAAAAATTCATAAAATTGTGTCTTAACTGTCTTAACTATGTCTAAACAAAAAAGACAAAAATGGTGTTAAATGCAGGGTCGATTGGCAGGTGCTGGGGCTCCTATGGAGCCTAATTACTATTTTTAAGTTCATGCGAAATTATGAATGATACATAAATATACTTAGTCTCAAATTTTTGCAGTTTCCTGACAATTATTGTGGTGAAGTATCTTTTGAAAGTCTCCAAAATAACAGTTTTCTAAATCAACGCTGATTCGACCGATCCAATTTTCACACCGATTGTGCAGAGTCGAATATTCTGAATATCCTTGTTGTGAGCAATTCTCTACGAAATTTGGCCGTTTTTTAGCCACTGACCGATTCTAATGCATTATTGTTTCGACAAGAATGAGCTGTAATGGCCTTAATAGCGATTGTGTCAAATATATTTAATGCGCTTTGAATTTTAAAAAATTTAGCTGAAATTATTGCAACTAAAGAAAATCGAACAAATTTTTGATATCAAAAATATTGCACATCTTTCAGTTGTACAGCTTGAAGGGTGCTTTGAGATTATACTTTTATATCGATTTTTTGTTTGCTTTTTTTTTTATAAAATAACCATCTCTACATTAGCAAATTATTGGTTTACAGTTTTGTTATGGTCCAGCACCCTTCATAATATCACAGAAAAGCATAGACACCCTTTAACAGCAAGCTGGAAACATCCTGCTATACTAACATGATAAGTAACAAGAAAGAAATCAAAACTAAATGAGAAATAAAATATGTCACTGATTGAAATTTGAGGTTAAAAAGATTAGACGAAAAATCATAAACAATAAGCAATTACGGAGAGCAACCGTTAAGTGGAAAGTGCGCTGAGAAAATAAAACTAAGCTGCATAAATTACTAAAACCATAAATAGCAATAAGTTAAATGCCAGCACACATTCCAAAGTAKAAATAAATATTTGAAATGGAAAAACTGAAACCCCATAAAATATCCCAAGCAAACGCGCGGCATTCACGACAAATTTATTTTCTCCATATTACCGCTTACCGCTTTGCATTGGGCGTTGACGTGGTTGTGCGCACGCGCGCATAAACAAAACGAATCAATTAAAAAACGATTAAAATTGTGCATCTTTTATGAGATTTTTATCGCTTAGGGGTTGTCAATTGTCTAACGCTACTGCCACTGCACACGAGATATTTCTACCTCACGCCCTCCCTTCTGAAGTCATATACTCATCACTTGATTTTCGTTTTCTAAATGCAATTGGCAATATAAATAAATTCCTTCAAATAAGGAACTTCTAATTTCGAATGGAGGTGAGAGCAGGGTTGCAAACAGTGCATTAAATAAGAAAAAGCGTTTATTTCGGTGGCACCGAAGCTATAATACCTTTTACAACAGCAAAACATTGCTTACAAGAACTGATCAGTCAGTTTGTTTGGCAGTTATATGCTATAGTGATCTGATCTGAGATTCTTCGGAGAATACATTATTGCTTTGGATATAACCCTCGTCAAATTTCGTGAAAGTAGCTCGTCAAATGAAAATGTTTTTCAAACAAGCGCTTGACTCCGATCGTTCCGTTTGTATGACTGTGTCCAAAAAATAAGGTGCCATTTGAATTTAAACTGCGCACGTCGAAGGACTTGGAGAATTATTTTTTTTTTTAGGTTGGTAGTACTGTCAGTCAAAATATTCATTAGTGTTTGAGATACGTGTCGTTTTGTGAGCTGCTAAAAGTGAGTTTTTCGTTTTTTGCGATGTCGAAATTTGTTGAGCAGAGAATTTGCATTAAATGATCATTTCGCCAAAAACACATCCCATATCGTTCCGCAACCACCGTATTCACCTGATCTGGCGCCGTGCGACTTCTGGCTGTTCACCAAACTCAAAAGACCGCTCCGGGGACACCGTTTTTATACGATAAAGGAGATTCAAGCCGCAGCGAAGACGGAACTGAAGGCCATCCCGGAAAGTGACTACAACCAGTGTTTCGAAGATTGGAAAATCCGTTGGCATAATGTACTACATCTAGCGGGGATTACTTTGAAGGGGATGAAATTGATTTGGAAGAATAAATAAAGAATTTTCAAAATAAATACAATGTCACCTTATTTTTTGAGCACGAGTATGATATAGTGATCCAATAGAGAAAAATTGCAGATCGATATTTCAAAATCTGAAAGTCTAGTTCGTGCAGACGGACGGGCGGACGGAGAAACAGACAGACAGACAGACGGTCATGGCTAAATCGGTTCAACTTGTCACGCTGACCCTTATGTTTATATTTTATTGGCTATCCTGTGTTTCCTTGTGGGTGTTACAAACTTCGTGGCAAACTTAATTTAAACTGTTCAGCTTATAAAAAATTATTGCATTAATCCTTGAATTATTTTTTTTTTCATTTGTTATCCCTAAAATCTTAATTAGAAACTAATTTGCAAATGTTTAACCCCAAGTACCGTAAAGCAAAAACAGAACCGTTTTAATTCTTTTTCAAATCATTAAATCGAACATACTTTCGCGATTCCAAAATGTTTGCAATCAATTAGGTTAATTTGCAGATATTTACACTTTTTTTTTTATCAAATTAGGTTTATAATGCATATCCTGGAAACTCATAAGAAACCGAGTGTCTTTTTTCGCTTGAAAAATCTGCTGAAAAAATCAGGTTTTCGAAGCTTAAAGCTCGAGAGGAAATATGTATTGTTGTCTGCATTTCAAATTAAAGCGAACACAAAATTGAAGAAATCTCTTATATAAAAAAAGCGCTCAAAGAGTAAATGCTCGCAAGTCTGTGGAGACCAAAACTTAAGAGTTCGGAAAAGAAAGAAAGAAACGAATGCTTAAACTTTTGTCACCGTTTTGACATGAATAAGCTTCTAATAAAATCCTCTCTTTAGCTTATAGCCCAAACCCAACAGATTTTGAGAAAGTAAAGTGCAAATCGATAGATAGATGTCTTGTTCCCGTTACAAATGCAATAGTAAAATAAGCTCCGCCGAAGTTCATGAAACACTCTTACTAATTAATAGCTTGAAGTTTGGATCTAAAAATTTCATAAAAGTTCTAATTTCTAATACCGTTTACTCCTAAGGAACACAATTAAAGCCAAACCAACGAAAGTCTAATCTTTAACTTGAAAAAATGTGCTGAAAGACTGATCCTGCAGACTTTCAAAGCTTAAAGCTCCAAAGTACTTTGTCTGCACAGAACTTACATTTAATCTAATGTATCTCAATTCCGTCATGTGATTTTACGAAAGATATTGTTTTCAAGCACAACGAAAAACACCTCATTGTGCCACAACAATAAATCGATCAAATTGGCGCAGTCGATGCAGCAAGAGATAAGAAAATAAACGATTTACATTCTATAACTACTTGTATATACATATGCACATACACATATATCTATTAATATGTTTGTACGTATTTATGTTAGGAAATTACCTTTAGTACCTCAAGAATATAATTTTGGCTATTTCCACATAAAAGCAAAGACGTGTAATAAATATTCCCACTATATCGCTAAAGACGCTATCGCAACATACACACATACATATACATACATATATATCTTATATAACTTATATGGAAGTACTATCTCTTGTTGACAGCCCTATTTCATATTAAAATAAAAATATTTTTAATGCCGCTGTCTAAACATGTGAAGACATAAACTCAACAAAGTAGCAACAGTGCCTAAATATTTACTGGCAGTCCGGTAGCACATGACTACCCAGTCAACTAGTCATGCCACCCACACACAAACACACACTATATACATACATATAATCACATTGTATGGTATTATCTATAATGTCCGTCGGCTCTTCATACTTTGGACTATTTTTAGGCACCCACATGCATTATCATCGGTCTGTTTATTTTGTTGTTTTTGTTTTTTTTTCTATTTTTCTATGAAGAGTGTGACTTAATTGTTTTTGTTGTTATTTTTTCTCTTTTACAGGAGCAAATCACGCAGCGTTGATCACGGCCTAGCTGCGCCATTCGATTTGGACTCACTGCGCTCGAAAGTAGAGGGACGCTTTGAGAGCGTTGATCGATTGACAAGTGAGTATTGCCATTCAAATATAAACTTCTATTTATTATAAAGGTATTTTCAAAAACCAGAAAAGCAATTTTCCTTCTCGAATAATTCCTCAAAAATACCAGCGATGCATTTTAGATTCGGAATCTGAACGGAATCTATGCATACGTTTTAAATCCTGAACCTTGATGATCTTTTGTTATTTCGAGAACTTTGTTTTAGCCTTAATGAACTAATGACATCTTTTCCTGCGCGGATATTTTCCTCCTAGAAAGAAAAATTAAGCAACTAAAGTGACTTTTCAGAGGTTTGTCAAACGTTCACTCCCAATCAGGCTGGAATAAGATGGCGAATTATGATGAGAAGAATTTATGAATTTTAATGCATATAACTTCGACCACTAACAACGAATTACTTCACGGAGATAATGCAAAGTACCCAATCATACTACTTTTATTAGTAATTTGACCTTCCGTAACATCTACTATGCTACCTCACATTCGAACGGCTTCCATATTGCACATAAATTTTGAAGTTTGGCATTATTCGTCCAAATGTAATCCCACAACTAATGCCTTGATCACACGTAACGAGTAGAGCGGCGAGACAGTGACTCGGTCGAGTGCTCGTTTCTTTTAAACAGTAAGGCGAGTAATGAACCGAGTCAATGGGCGAGTATAGTGGCGAGAGAGTCACTGGAATCACATTTTGTTTACTAGGTCGAGTGCTTCTTTTTTCTTCACTCTTTTGCCCCTTCTGGGCAAATCACTGACTCGCTGGTTGCATGTGAACACACGTTCGGTCTTCACTCGCCACTCGGTCGATTTTTATGTTGTTTATTTGGTTTCAATTGAATTTTGCATTGTGAAAGAATTGAAATGGCAAATACTCTTTTATGAGATGCGGTAAAACTTTATTAAAAACTCTTTTAAAATGTCTTTTTCTACCAAACATGGTAAAACTTTGAAAAACTTCACTGTCTAACTAGATGAGCAAAATACGTGTAAACCTCTACTCGCCAACGCAACTTTCTCGACCGAGTATCATACTCGACCAGAAAACTGTCTCGCCACTGTCTCGCCACTGCACTCGTGGCGATCTGATCAAGAGCCTTTGCTATTAAAATTATATTTTGTTTTCATACGCTAATTATAGAGGGGAAAGTAAGGGGGCCCATACTTTGTCGTAAGGAACATTTTGTATACAATGCTTGGTTTGTTGGTCGCAAAGGGAGGAACATGAGCTCTAATCCGCAGGCGGCCACTCTTAGACCCATCGTGCTCCTGAGTAATAATTAAATTAAGCCTTATTAAGCTACTCGGTGGATTTGGTAAAAACTTGATTTTTGTCTATCCCAGTAACCCAATGTCTCTCAGTTGGAGCAAAGGCAGACAAAAAATTTGCCCCAGCATACATATATGTAGCTGGCGATGAATAATGTTCCGGAGTGATATCATCCTCCGCGCATGCTCTACACCCCGCCGTCTTCACTTTGCCCATTTTATGAAGGTGGGATCTTATAGAAAAGGTACCCCACGCTAACTCCTAAAAATTGATTATACTTTAATAACAAATTTAGTTAAGCTATTAATATTTTCAAAACAATTAGCTTTTGGCAAAATGTATTTTAATTTTCGTTTATTTTACGTTCAATAATTTCTATTTGTATACACACATATGTACATATGTATACGGCTTTGTGTGCTAGTTCTACCGCTTATGATTTCCTGCTTCAACAACCATTTTTAAACACTTTCGTGCAGCGGCAATTTCTTGTTTGGTTCGCGCGCAAGTCGCACACCAGATGCAAACACCACCTTACAGCCCTACAATTATGTTTAAATTTCCACTGCATACTTATAGGCGCTTGAAAAACTGCCTCACTAAAAAGTCCGTTACTACGTGACTAAGCATGCAAAAAGCTTTCAAATTTCATAACAAGCAATTAAAAGATCACAACAAAATTAATTGAAAATAATTTGAGTCTACGAACATAGTACATATTTACATACAATGTAGTATCTTTGCTAAAATTGGTATTTTTGAAGAAATTTGTCGCATTTTTAACATATACATTTTATTGCAAAGTAACAAAAACAAAAAAAAACACATATTGGCAAGTGTTTCAGAAATATATATGAATCAGTATGATAATTACTATAGTTCAATTAGAGTTGCCATCTTATAAATTACCCCAAAAAAAATAAGTCTTATCTGGATTCATACCGCAGATACTAGGTTAAAGTTCAGTCAGCAAATGTTTTAAAGTTGAGTTGATTTAAAGTCTGAAAAGCCAACTTTATGAATATATGATGGTTATTTCTGAGAAACGAAAATTAGTTGGTGAAATTTTAGTTTGAATGAAAAAGCGAAAATTCCTATGTTAAATGTATGGGAACCTAAAAAAAATAGCGACCCCTTAGAGCTACAGCGCCTGGCTTGAGGGACAATTTTTTATTTGTCAATCACTAACATTTGAGGAGGTAAGAGTTGAAAAAAAATTCTAAACGTTTTTTTGAAGCACCCTAATGTACATACAATCATGCACCGCCTATTTAGAAATTTGAAGCCAATAATATTATTAAACATATATACATATATGTACATACAAGCATTTGTAAAATATATTTTTATACTCAACGCTACATGTTGCTGCAGAGTATAACAGTTTTGTTCAGCTAACGTTTGTTTATATCACCTAAAACTAATTGAGATGGAGGTGGGCTAAAATTAAATAAATGAGCGGACAATGCCTTTTAAGAAGTTCAAAGTACTTAACATCTAAATCACTTAAGATACAAGAAACAAATTGGAGCGAAACAAATCTGACCTGCTCGACCAATTTCAACCAAATTTAGAATGTGGATACTGATATTTCTATGCAACAGCGCAAAAGTGGGTGAAATCTGCTGCTTCTCTTATAACTGAATTTTAAAAACCATCTGATTCTTCCCCTTCCAGTATACAAATTGAACATGAACTATTATGTGATGGGATAAAACTTTACACAAATACTATCTTTGAAGTATGCCAGCTAATTATTTAAAAAACTATCCAAAAGGGACTAAAACTGATTACTCCCTAGGTACCAAATATATGGACCCCAGTTACTATTGCGAACTTTTTCGTTGAAAATATGAGATTATTATAGAAACTCCGACAGCATTATATGGTCGAGTGCCAAAATGGGTTGAATCGATTCAATGTATCTTAGTCCTCATATATCTAATAGAAAGATTTTCGAACTTCTGGATGACTTTCTACCGCAAATATCGGCCAATATGTGAGTTAGCTTAATGAAAATGAAAATGAAAGAATAACAGTATATCTTTGGGCATAAGATAGGTCAAATTTGCCTAGCAGCAATATAAATAATATCTAGACTTTAAAACATCCAGTTGACTGTATATCACATACATATATTGTTGATGGTATGTGAGATAGCTTAAGAAAACTCAGAGAGCATATGTATATGTATTTCTGTTAGCGATATGCGAAATTGCCAAAAAATAGATAAAATCGAGTCAATACTACACCACTCCTATCTCCCACATATACATATGTACATGTATGTACCCAATATAGGAATTTCACGATTTTAGAATGAATGTGGAATACTTTCGTTACAATTTTAAAATAGAGTTTTGCCCACACCCAAGGGTATTTCTGCGGCTTTGATCTTTGCAAGTTGCAAGAATATAAAATATTCGGTTACACCCGAAGTTAGCTCTTCCCTACTTATTATTGAATAAATTTCGTCACCGAGTCCTCCAGAAAAGTTTAGGTGTATACACTTAATTTACTATATGACATACCTATGTATATGTACATATGTATGTACTTAACTTACACATTTTTCCCACAGAAAATCGGTCGGTATCAAATAGACCCAAAAAATGTGCACTTGTTATTTACGAGTACTTGTCGCATTTCAATTGAAATCTTTAATAAATAAACAACGCCAATTGAAAGCGAGTCAATACTTCAATTATGCATTAAAAAACGCTCAATTTCAAATGGCATATGGTTAAACATGAGAACACACGACTACATACTTTTATATGCATATATAACGAATTATATATATATGTATATTTATATAGTATATAACTATACGACAGAATACTGCAGTTACGACGGGTGGAAAAAATTTAAACAATAAAATAAATTGAAGTAAAACATTTTCGGCTCTACATTTACTTTTCTGGACGCAATGAGAGACATATCGAGATTTAAAATGTTAAAAAAAAATTTATAACTATTTTAAATCGGTTCTCAAACTTGAAATTTTGATCGAAATTATTTGATGGTTTCATTTTCGAAAATTGCTTGTGTTGTCATCAAAAAATTTGTGAGAGTAGAAAGTTATATTTAGAACTACCCTATTACTGAATACTGCTTCAAAAAAGCTCTTAAGTTTGTTCTCACATAGATGGATGGATGTCAATATGCGAATCCGAAGATTCCGTTGTGCGGTGTTTTGTTTTAGACTCTCTACTTCATTATCTGCTTCTATTTTTTTATTAAAAATATCATTTCATAAACACAAAAAAAAGTGTTTATTATAAAATTTTTCTTTCAAAAATACTTTTGTATTTATTTCTAAAAAATTTGAAAAGAATTTAAAAAATTTATCTGGGTTGGATCTGAAAAAAAGTATGCGATATCGCTTATATGAAAAAAAAAAATGTTTTTCCAAAAAAGCGAGGAAGTAAACCAAATCAGAAAAAAACTCATTATTTAACTAATTTCAACAAATTAAACATGATACGTACCACTGTGGGTGAACAAACAATATGGACTTCGACATAAGTTTTGCGCTCAGGAATCAATTTTTCTGTCAGGACGCCCGTGAAGTACTTTTCAGCATTTTTAAATAAAGAACAGTAAAATTTTAACATTAAAACCAGAATTTCACAATATGAATGAATATCACCGATATCTTTAAATTTTCAAAAAAAAATTTAAAAAAAAATTTCAGAAAATTTTAATTTTCAAACACCTTTTTCACGCTCTACTAAGG